CAAATACCTAACCTGTTCAACTGATTTTGTAAAAAAAAAAAAAAAAAAAAAAAAAAATTCATTTATTTCTTTGAAAGTCAGAGTTACACACCAAGACAGAGAGTTTCCACTGGCTGGTTCACTTCCCAAATGGCTGCAACAGCCAGGATTGGCAGAGGCCCAAGGTCTTGGACCATCTTCTGCTGCTTTCCTAGGTACATTAGCAGGGAGCTGAACAAGAAATTTAGCAGCTGGGGCCGGGCACAACAGCCTAGTGGCTAAATCTTCACCTTGCATGCACCAGGATCCCATATGTGAGGGCACCAGCTCATGTCCCAGCTGTTCCATTTCTCCTCCGGCTCCCTGTTTTTGGTTTGGGAAAGCAACAGAAGATGGCCCAAAGCTTTATGACCCTGCTTCCACACTGAAGAGGTTCCTGGCTTCAAATCAGCTCAGTTCTGGCCGCTGCAGCCACTTGGGGGAGTGAACCAGTGGACAAAAGATCTTTCTGTATCTTCTTCTTCTTCTTTTTTTTTTTATTAATTATATATCTCCCTTTCCAATGAGAATAAATCTTTGGAAAAAAATACAGCAATTGGGCCTGAATAGGCACTCACATATAACCCTAACCCTAAGCTTAATCCATGGTGCCACAACTCCAACCTCTCGACTGATTTTTTACAAAGCTGCCAAGGCACCTCAATCAGGAAAGGAAAGCCTTTTCAACAGCTGGATCTATAAATTAAACACACACTGAATTTTACCATACACCACTCTCTCTCAAAAAAAAAAAAACCTCTAAATAAATCACAGATCTAAATCTAAAACCTATAAAACTTCTAGAAAATAAGAAAAACAAAAAACAAAAAACCTTTACAATTAGAGGAGGCATTAAAAGCACAAAACACAAAAGGAAAAAGTGGTAAAATAGTTACCTTTGAAGGATAAATTAAACAGCTATCCTTTAAAAGATACTACTAAGGAGGCTGGCACTTTAACATAGTGGCACCAGTATCCCATATGCGTGCCAGTTCAAGTTCTGGCTGTTCCACTTCTACTTCAGCTCCTGTTAACGTATCTGGGAAAATAGTGGAAGACGGTCCAAGTGCTTGGACCCCTGCATCCACCTGGAGACCAGAAAGAAGCTCCTGACTCCTGGCTTCAAACTGGCATAATCCTGGCTGTTGTAGCCTACCGTGGAGTGACCCACCAGATGGAAGTTCTTTCTCTCTGTATTAAAAAAAAGAGTTTCTTTTTCTCTGTATTACTGTCTTTCAAATAAAAATTAGTAAATTAAAAAAAAAAAAAACACACACAACAAACTACTAAGAAGTTGAAAAGCAGAGCCAGCACTGTGGTATAGCATATAAAACTGCCGCATGCAGAATCAGCATGCCATATGGGTACCAGCTCATGCCCCAGCTGCTCCACTTCCCATCCAGTTCTCTGTTAATGGCCTGGGTAAAGCAGTGGATGATGGCCCAAGGTTTTGAACCCCTACCACCAATGTGAGAGACCCAGAGAAAAACTTGCAGTTCCTGACTTTAGACTGCCTCAATTTTACGAGCTATTATGGCCACTTGGGAGTAAGTTAGCAGATGGAAGAGTTATAAGAAAACAATACTTTTTAAATGGGTCAAAGGTAAAAAATACACATTTCAAAAATGAAGATACATAATGGTCAATACACACATAAGGAGATACTCAACATCATTAATGATAAGTTTATAAAAACTGACCATACATTCACTAAATCAGCTAAAATACACAGAATAAATCCACTTTGGAAAACAACTTCTTTAAAAATTAAACATAGCTGTACAATCCAACTAACCTAGGACAATAAATTCTATTTAGGTTTTATGAAGCAAAAACATTTGTCTTATTACAAAAGACCTGTAAATGAATGTTCATATCAGCCTTATTGTAACACTATAAAATTGAAAATAATCAAGGATAGCTAAACAAATTACAACATATTCATAACAGAATTCTACTCAGCATTAAAAATTACTCATCATCCCAAAATTAATACTCTAAATGAAAAAAATCATGCAAGAAAGAGAACACATGGTGTGATTCCTCTTACATCAAACCCGGAACAGGCAAACTGGTGTATAATGACAAAAAACAGGTTGGTAGCGCCTAGGGCAAGAATAGAGGAAAGAATGGACTATAAAAGGATAAAAAACATGGAAATGTTTGTCTTCTCTTTGTGATAATGGATTCACAGGTGTATCCACTTGACAAAGCTGGTCACAGTGCACACTGTACATCAGTGCAGTCTAATATACTTTAATTACACCTCAATAAAGGCATACAAATTTTAATGGGAATTGGCAATTCTTTGGGGCTAAAACCCACCACCCAAACCATGGGAACAATTTCTCTAAGGGAAGACCCGATAGTACTAACAGACCTTGGTCAGGTTCCAGGTAACCCCTCTGCACAGGAGTTTCTTTACTATCAGGGAAGAACTCAGAGATACCAACAAGCAGAGAAAGAAATCAACAGGAATATAATTCACATGACTAACACCTTGGAGATGAAGCTCATGTCATCTAGAAATCCCTCCCAATAGAGCTTTCATTTATTTACTTTTAACATTTATTTTTGTTATTTGAAAGTCAGAACTACAAAGAGGAAGGCAGGGGGAGAAAGAGAGAGCGAGATTCCATCTGCTGGTTTACTCCCCAGATGGCTGCAGCAATCAGAGTTGAACAAGGACAAACTTAGGAGCCAGGAGTTTCTTGCAGGTCTCCTACTACTTGGGTCATCTTCTACTGCTTTCCTGGGCGTTTGGCAGGGAGCTGAATCAAAAAATGAGCTGAGACTCGTACAGATTCCCACATAGGATGACAGCACTGCTGGTGGCAGCTTTACCCACAACACAGCAATATGAGCTCCTCTGTTTTTTTTTTTTTTAATTTTAAAATATTGTCCCTTCTTTAACTTTTAAAGGATTCAACAAAACCACTTATCAACTCATGACATACAACTATTCATTAGCAGGTTAATCACAAACTTTCCTTCCCAGTAATGTAACAAGAAAAAGTTGACTATCAGACTTTATAATGTGGAGTCATCCCTTTGATTACAGAGATAAAATGGAACTTCAGATTTCATTAGGAGATTTCAGTTCCTTCCAATGTCCTCTGTAAACTTCTCTAATTCTACCTAATCCTCTAGGTTCTCCATGGCTCCTTCCTCCTCTCTTTTCCAGTATCACATCCCACCACTGGTGTACACTGAGAAACAGTGCTTTAACCACTTTCTCTAGAAAATCTTGCAAATACATTCTACAGGAAAGCATCATACTTCCTTGTACTTTCCACAGCTCACAGTTCCCAACTCTCTATTTCAGACCAGCCCTGCCAAGGCCCAAGCCTGTTTATGTTTGTTCCGAATGTTGTTCCTCATTCAGAAAGTCCTAGTGACGTTAAGGACTCCAATCTCCACCAGGTTGCCAAAGCCAGAAATCCTCAACTTCCCTCACCTCGTACACGCTTAATTATCACCATCTATTGAAATATACTGGGAACAGCTCCGCAGGCTACACATTCTTCATTTTTCCTCTTAGGTTACTGTAATCATCTCAGAACCCTATTTCTACTACTCTCCCAAACCCATCCTTGATAATGCTGTCAGAGTGAACAGACACCAATATCTAGTTATGTCATTCCCTCATGTAAAACCCTCATGGGAGGCACCCTTGCTGTCCCTAGTCAGTGATCCTCAGTGCCGCAGGAGGCATTTGCCAGTGCCTCACCAAATGCCAACACCACGCTCCTGCTGCCCAGTCTCTAGAGCTCCACGTGACCCGACAGGTGCACACTGCCCCTTGTCCTTCTTAAACTGGTTGTGTTGCAAACCAAGGGTTCTCACAAGACACCAGCACCATGCTGTTTGGATTGTCCAACCTTCAGAATCATGTGCCAAATACACCTGTTTTCTTTATATATAAAGGTATTTCTAGAAGTTCTTGGAAAGATGTACTTAAAAATAAATCTGACAGTAAAAAACAGAACCCTCTAAATAAAGGGGGGAAGGGGAGAAAACAATTTTTTCCAGGAAAAAATCCCAACACTGTACCATACATGGTGCTTCATGATGTGGTCCCTGCTAATGTGGCTAAATGATCTTGCAAAATCACTTCATCCCCGATGCCAGTCACACAAAAAGACTACTTGATTAACTTCTTTCAGCTGCTCACACATTGTTCTGAAAAATCCTTTCTCTTGGTGAAATGCATCATTTCTTACTTCCCAGCTTCTGCTTAGGTGCAACTTGCTCAATCTGATTCCCTTTCCCCTTCCCAAAGATGCTATAAAACTCTCTGAAAGACATTGACACTGACACGGCACGCAGTAGGGGGCTTATCCCTCCCCCTCCTTTAGACAGCTTGTTCTGTTTTCACATCTGTATGCCCAACCTACTATACGCAGCTGGACACAGCAGACATTTCACAAACGTTATTTGAATGAATGAGTCCACCAGAATTTTCAGTTAATGAGCATCTTTTCTTTTTCATAATTAGCCCTGGAAAAAATTTACCGCAGTCAATATGCAAAATCATAAACCAAAATCGCAGTCAAGAAATTTGAAGATAAAAGGATTTCTTCTGGCCATTTTTTATTGTCCTTCCCAACTTCATCAACATATTTATGACCACAAACTGGAGGTCTGCATACAGGCAGGGCTGTTCCCGAGTCCTACCTTCCATTTTCATTATGATTCAGACATGTTTTCCTTCCTCCCCCACCACTGTTTAGACCTTCACTGTTCAATCCAGTAGCCAGTAGCCACAGGTGGCTACTTACAGTTAATTAAAATTCAATGAAAAATTCGGTTCCTCCCACCCCCGGCTGCACTGGCCACATTCTAAGGGCTCAAAAGCTACTGCGTGGTTGTCGATTTTGAAAGCCGGGGAGAGGACAGACACACCACACGGTCTTCGGTTCCCCCGGGGAAGCGCCGCTGACACAGTGATAAAAAGGACCTGCGAAAGCAGCCTCACTTACTTCTTGGCGCCCACGATCCTCGTGCTCCTCTGCTGCTTAAAGGATGTGGGTCCCGGAGTCTAGCAAGCCACAAGCACATCCGTGAGGGCCGGGCACGTCTGCACCTGCCGAGAGACGACGCCCCCACCTCCGCCACGCCCCCGCCCCGTGCCCAGCGGGGATGTACCGCTCTCCCGGGGCCACCCTCTCCACGGGCACAGAGTGCCGCCCCGAGCGGGGACACTGCCAGAGCCTCCCTCTTCCTCCATTCTCCAAGCCTCATCCCGGATGCAGGCTCTCAAAAAGGGGGGCGGGGGGCCGAGAGGAGCAGACAACGGACCTGGGCGGCCTCGGGGACACAACGGCGACAGAAACGAATGGCAATCTGTGGAGGGACTGAGTCCTAGGCCGTGGGGCCAGGCAGCAAGAAATGAGGGGGGGGGCTGTTTGTCGATAAATAATGGGGGGTGGGTGGTTCTGATCTAGAAGGGTGGGGCCTGCGAGGGGTTCTGAGAAAACCAACTCCGAGCCTTATCAGAGACAAAAAAAGCGAGGGGCGGCGAGTGCCGGCTCTAACGCATCACGGTCAAACCAAAGAAACTCACGGCGGAGACTGCACCGAGTCTGGAAGACATCACTCCCTCTCCACGCCTAACTGTTTCACCCAAGGGCTCCGGCCAGACCAACGCCACTTCCGCTCTCCCTGCTTCTCCCGGATGTGGACTTGGCGCCGCCTAGTCCTGTTCCGACATCTACTTCCGCCTAGTGGCTTCCGAGGGGGGCTGCGGTCCGAATAGAGTCATGTGACAAGCCTCCCTCCCCCCCCGCCCCGTCCCCAGAGACTCCGCCCCCGGTGGTGGCCAGAGTGGGCTGAGGGCGGGGCAGAGGGCGGGGATTGGAGTCTTGACCTCCCCACCCCCTCTACTTTGCACCACACCTTGGGACCATCCCTTCTCTGCCCACCCCATGAGTGGTCTTGTAAAGGCACGTAAGATATCAATTATTGCCTCTTTATTGATCTTAAAGAAATGACAGGCCATTCTTGCTTTCCCTCCACACCAGGTAGAGAGAGTAGGAGCCCTCCCATGCTGAGGGTGCAGGAATGGGAACAGGAAAGGGCGGGTGAGTGGAACTTGAGACCATGAATAACAGGGTCCATCTATTCCCATCTCCTTGCTTCAGGCCTCCAAGATTTCTCTGCTTTGAGGTTTTTTGGTGTGGTTCCTTGGAGGCGTGTTGGAGCAACTCTTGACATCTTTCGATACCCCGTGCCTGGGCCTCTGCTTAGGTGAACTGTGTTGGAGCCTCTCCTTGGGAGGACTATGGGGGGCTTTCTCAGTGGGACAGCTTTGGCTCCTCTCGGAGTGACTGTACCAGCTCCTCTCCGAATGGCTGTGCCGGCTCAGCTCCGAGAGGGGACTGTGGTAGGATCTGTCGGACCGACAGCCTCTCTCGCAGGCGCCGGGCCGGGTCCTCCTCGCGCCGCTGCAGTTTCTCCTCCTCTCAGAGGCCGGACTGCTGAGGCTGGGCTCCGAGGGACTGGGGTACCTCCTCTCTGAGGAACTGAGGTGGCTCCTCTCTGAGGGACAGCGCGGGCTCCACTCCGTGAAGGGGCTCCGATGGAGCCCTTCTCGGGGACGTCTCCTCTCAGCGGCAGCGCCTCGTCTCCTCGCCAGGGGACTGTGATGGCCCCTTTCCGAGAGACTTTGCAGGGTCCTCTCGGAAGGGCTGCGGTGGTTTCGTCGACAGCGACTGCGGTGGTTCCTCTCCGAGAGACTGCGAAGGGTTCTCTCCGAGGGACTGCACTGGCTCCTCTCAGAGGGAAAGTGATGGCTCTTCTCAGAGAGACTCTGCCAGTTCCTCTCGGAGGAATTCCGGGACACCCTCTCTCTACCGGAGCTGCAGTGGGTTCGCTCCTTGTGGGTTAGTTTCTCATCACAGGGCGAGCTTCTCTTCGTGGGATGAGCAGATGGGATTCTCCCTCGAGCCTGAGCTCTGGTTCCCGTTTGGGACAAGTCCTTAGATCCCCGGCTGATTTCATTCCTGCAGAATCTCCTCTCGGCTCTGCTATTATTGTCATTTTGAACTGCATCCAAAGGTTGTGGTGGGACTGAGGTAGTCTCCAGAATGATGTCTAATTGGGAAACTATGGGCTGGGACATTGGGAGAGAGCTGGATTGGAAAGAGCTCTCTCGTGTTGGCCCTAGAGGTGAATTGCATTGATCCGTTACCCCTGACAGTGTGTACTCCTGCTTAGTGTCTGTGCTTCTAGGGCTCTGCTTGCCAACAGGCAGCCTGTCACTTTTGTTACCTCCCCTGGCTTTTTGTTTCGGATGGTGGGTTTTGCTTGACGGCAAACTGTCTGCTATTGTCTTGTCCTCAGGCTTCTGTCCAACAAAAGCTATAATTCTGTGTGCTGTTTGGCATGCCTGTTTTAGGCCCTGAAAAAGCAATTGCATGAACTTGGGCTGGGAAGATTTCTTAGATTGTCTTTTTAAAGAAGCAGTACTTGTATGAATGCCTGCAATCCTCTTCCTCCTTGAAGGGGGTGGTGATTCTGTATAGGAACTTTCTATTGTGGTTCTACTGTTTGTGTGCAATCTTGTGTTCTGTGCTCTACGTCTCTTGATGAGTCTTTTCTTTGGGTGCTTTGAAATGGAGTTTTTTGTGGTACTCACTTTAACCCATTTTTCATCCTGATTGCTTTCAGAGTCGCTGTCTGATAGAGACTGAATTTGAGTGAATTCATAGTCCTCAGACTCTCCGACTTTGCTCTTTCTTACTAGCTCAGGACTGCCACATTGCCTTCGCCTGATGTGGACTTGTACAGGAGTAGGAAACTGGGAAGATCCAGACTGGAAATCTATTGTGGGAGCAGAACTCTTAGAAGCTTTAGTAAAGATTTTGCCTTTCTTTTGGGGTGGTGATACAGTTTTCTTTGGTGAGATAGGTTTTTCTCTTCCACCATATTTTGAGACTTGGGATTTTTTCCCAGTTCGCAACCTAAAGCCAAGATGCAACCGAATCTCGCCATGGCCTTCAGGGGTGCTTACAAGGTGGATTTGTGGATAGATAAGCAGATAAGGCCCAAAGGTGGTCTGTAATTTATGACAGCAATTAAATCCTAAGCATCGGCCACACTGTAGACAAATAGGATATTTTAGGACCAGACCTGAAGCCAGAGGTGGAGGTACGTTGGGGGGTATTTGACTTCTCAGGAGTTTTGCTGCTATTTTTAGCTGCAGATCTTGTAGCAACTGAAACTGTTCTGAGAAGTCACTCTTGGCCTGATGAGGATAAGTTGGCTTTAAAGAGCGTTGGGACTCAAAAGTCCTTGTCTGGGAGTCACTCTGTGAGTTCTCACTCTCTTCCATAGGAACAGGGTCTTCCCTTCGATAAAATGTCCTGAGGGAAGACTCTGACTTGACTGGTTCAGGATGGCCCTCTGCACATGACATAGGCATGTGCTGAATGACGTCCTGGGATAGATCACTGGGCCTTGAAGAGGTTTTCTTTATTCCAAATCTAGTCCCAGAGTATTGCTGTATTATAGAATATGTGGAACTACGTGTCCACATCCGTAAGGCCATTTTTCTCTCATTACCAGGACATAAAGTGTGTCTCTGAATGTAGTTTTTGACCATTGAAGACTGAGAAATAGTACCAGGACCCTTCTCTAACAGATTCTGAGAAAATTCCATCAGTTCAGCTGGAACGCCAAATAAATTCTGAACAGATTGGCAGATATCTGTAGTGATTCTTTCCACTAAAGATGTTCGAGAATGAAGCTTCTTTTCCATAGTAGTCCCCAAGACATTTCCTAGCATTAGCATAGTGGAGAGATATTTTCTAGGTAGTCGCTGCATGCTGACATGATTTTCCCAGACATTCTGTTGTCTGCCCAGCAAAGACGAGATAGGGCCTCGGTGAGCCCCTAATCTCGCCTGAAAATTCCTAGGTGTTGACCTCCAGCTCTGTGGAGGATGTCGGAAGATAATCTGGAATTGGTTCTCAAACTCTGTTAGTTGATTTCTTTTAGTTCTCTCCTGAGATATGACATCCTCTGCTGGGATCTCAGGGAATGGAGTTCCCACTGAACTAGCCAAGGGCTGATTATGCGGGGCCATGGGGAGTATTGGAGACTGTATCATAGAAGGGTCTGTACAGGACTCTTTAGACTGCAAAATATCTGTCCCAAAGTTTTTTATATCCAAAACTGTCTGTGCATCTAGCATCCCAGATTGCTGAAAGCTTCCTAATTCAGATGTTCTAACAGAGCTTGAAATTAGTGATGTTGAAGAGCTTTGTGGGAAACTACTGAAATAATCCCCTTTTTGTACCCCTTTCTCTGACTCCTCAGTGTCGCTGTTCTGATACCCCTGTCCTTCATCTAAATATTTGGATTCAATTACTTTAGGATACTCAGTTTTGATTCCTATAGGTTTCACAGTCTGAAGCCTTTGTTCATGAGTCATTATTTTAAGCTTCTTAAATGGAAATGCTTCCTGTGAGGTTAGATCATCAGGTTTCACTTGAATAGTTGACTGTGGAGTTAATTCTTTAGATTTAACCGGTTCTTGAAAATGTTGCCTTGGGAGTAAACCCAAACAATCTAATACTTCAAGCCCTGACCTTAGAGTCACTCCTATTGGTTCTACAACCTGAGGAGTTGATCTTGGCTCTAATTTCTCAGATTTCACAATTTGAAGTGATGGTTTTGGGGTTAATACAGACTTCACTATTTGAGATCCTGTCAACTTCATTGTTTCCAAAATTTGGTGTGTTGGCTCTGTGATTAATTTCTTAGACTTCATGTTTTGTAACCATAGGCTTGAGGTAAACTCTGAAGTTCTCACATCTTGAAGCTTTGAGGTTAATTCAACATGTTCTGCCATTTGCAAGTTAGGCTCAGGTGTTCTCACGGATTTTACAGCTTGAACTGGTCCGCCAGGAGTCACTTTCTTGGGTACAACAATTTTGGGGGTAGTGACTGGTATTACTCCTACTGACTGAACAAAATGCTGTGTTCTTGCAGATTCTGTGACTTGATATAGTGGATTTGGACTAATTTTCACAAATTTTATTTTATCCTGTGGTCCTGAATGTTTCATATGTTGATTCTGTGTCTGTCTTAGCCTCATTGATGCCTCTCCTTGCTGGCATGTGTCAAATATGAGCTCTATAGATTCTGCATGTCCCATACCTTGGTTTTGTTGCACTGGGGGCAACTCCAAAGGTTCCTTCCTTTGCAGCTGCTGCTTAGAGGTCATACTTAGCAATTCTGGGACTTGATCTCCTAACTCTACTGTTAGCACTGGAGATCCCAAATAATATTGTGACTTTGAAAACAGTTCTTTCAGTCCCTCCATTTGCAGCCCTGTCTCAGTAGTCAGCTCTTCAGATGTAATGGCATGAGTTCCTAGTTCTGGTGTCATCCGTGAAGCAGAATCTGAGATATGATGTAATGACTTTGGAATCAATACTACAGATTCTTCCTTTTGCCATCTTTTCCCTGAGGTTACTCCAATTCCAACAGGTTCAGAAGCTTGAGAACAGGGCAGGAGATCTGTCCTCACAGGAGATCTCTGTACACATCCAGTGTCTTGATTTATTGATTTTGGAGCCATTAAAAGGAATTCTCTCCCTTGCAATCTGGCTTTAGAAGTCAACCCCATAACTTCTGGG